GAGAGAGAGAGAGAGAGAGAGAGGAGTGAGTGAGGGAGAGAGAGAGAGAGAGAGGAGTGAGGGAGAGAGAGGGAGAGCGAGAGGGAGAGAGAGAGAGAGAGAGAGAGAGAGAGAGAGAGAGAGAGAGAGAGAGAGAGAGATGCAGAGAAAGAGAAACACATGATTTTGACGTGGCGACGTCGACACTCTCATCCTTGTTCCTTGTAAAAATGACACGAGGATCGGGGTCGTCCGTCCCTAGTGCTCTAGTTCTTCGCGCGACGCTGTTCGCCCACGGCGCATTTGGGCGGTGTGCATCGATGTCGGTCGGCTCGAAGATCTGGCGCGCCAGCCCGTCACACAAATTCCACATCCGTGCAGTTCCCTGCTGGCGAGACCGTTCGCTCAAACAGGTGCCCCGCTTGCCCGCAGGCTCTCCGTCACTGATGACGCAGCATGGGTGATAGCAGAGGTAGTGCGTGGGCCGCAGAGCGGCCACGTGCTGCTGCGACGCGCCGATGCTCCTCCGGGAGTCGAGCTCCAGTTTGAGCGGCCCGAGGCCGAGGTTTCTGCCTGCAGCATCGTCTCTGAGAGCGAGCCGGCGCTGGCTGCGTGCAGCGACATTGTGCGCTTGGGGAGCACCGTTGAGAGGCTCGTTTGCGCGTTCTGTGCCAACAGCATGGTGGATGCCGCGTAGGTGGGCCTCGGCGACGTCAATTTCGGCGCCATGCTACACGCCTTCAAGTTACGCCTTGAAAAGGATGCCATCTTCACCAACATTGGGCCGGTGCTCCGCAACCCTTCCCGCTCTGTCCTCACCCGCCAAGCGCCGCTCGATTCACAGCCTCCGACTCCGCCATGCCACTTGATCTCTGCGATTGCAGCGCCACGCCCTCGGCACTCCGATGACACGCACACTAACGCTCCGCAAACCTGCCACGGCAGGTGCTCGTGGTGATGAACCCGTACAAGCCCGTCAACTCGTGTGCGCCGTCGTCTATGATGCAGATGGCAAAGTCAACCAGCGCGGAGGACCTCCCGCCCCACTGCCACTCCACGGTCGCCAGGGCCTATGCTGCCATGGGCGAGCTTAAGGGAGGCTCCCCGCAGTCGGTGATCACGCCCGCTGCTCCCCCTCCAGCAAGCGCTCCCGCCCGCCAGCCCATCAACTAGCCCACTCTGCTTTGCCCCGTGATGCGATGCAGGTGCTCGTTTCGGGCGAGTCCGGCGCGGGGAAGACTGAGACGATCAAGCTGTGCATGTCAGCGCTCGCGAATCTGTCGCGCTCGGCTGGCTCGACCACGGAGGCTGCGCTCGAGTCTGGCCTGCTGCTTGAGGCGTTCGGCAACGCGATGACCGTCTACAACCACAACTCGTCGGTCCGCTCGCCTCGCCCTAAGCCTCTCCGCCGTGACGACAGTAACTGCCTGACGCGCGTGCCCGTGCCGTGTGCTCGCAGCGCTTCGGCAAGTGGGTTGCGCTCCACTTTGGTAAGGACATGAAGATCTCCGCGGGCTTGATTCTCTCCTACCTCCTCGAGCAGTCTCGCATTGTCTCGGCGCCTCCGGGCGAGCGCAACTACCACGTCTTCTACTACATGATTGCCGGCATGCCCGAGCCACTGCGATCGCAGCTCCACCTCGAGGATTCGCCGGCGGACTACGCCTACCTCCGCGACGGCGAGACGCGGGCGCCAGGCATCGACGACATCGGCGGCTGGGACCACCTCACCAGCCGGCTCGAGCTGACCGGCTTTGACGAGGCGGAGCAGCGCACCATCTTTGAGCTGCTCGCGGCCGTGCTCGCCCTCGGCAACGTGCGCTTCGTCGAGGCCGAGCCCGAGCGCTCCGCCACGCCCGTCGCCGACAGGGAGGACAACCCCGGCAAGGTTGCCGATGCCGCTGCGCTCGCGATCGCCGCTGACCTGCTCGGCCTCAAGCAGAAGGAGCTCGAGGTGAAGCTGGTCTCGCGCGTGCTCAAGATCAGCGGCCCCTCCGTCGCGTCGAAGCGGCTGACACGGCAGGGCTCCGCCTACACGCTCGCCCTCTCGCCCGACCAATGCGCCGATACGCGCGATGCCGTCGCGCGGGCCATCTACTCGGCGGTCTTCGATCACGTCATCAAGCACTTGAACGGGACGCTCGGCGCGGGGTCGATCGACCGCAACAGCGGGCGCTCAATCGGGTTCCTCGACATCTTCGGCTTCGAGAACTTCACCTTCAACTCTTTCGAGCAGCTGTGCATCAACTTCACCAACGAGACGCTGCAGCAGCACTTCACCAACTCCATCATCAAGCGGCAGCAGGACGAGTGGAAGCGCGAGGGCGTGGCTTGCGCGCACATCTCCTTCCCGGACAACACGGCGCAGATCGAGCTGCTCGACTCAAAGGGCGGCGTCATGGCACTGCTCGACGAGGAGTGCACCGTGCCCAAGGGCAGCGACGAGGGCTACGTCTCCAAGATGCACAACGCCTTCAAGAGCGAGCTCTACTCGAAACCGCGCCGCGGCAAGGGCGCCAACCTGCACGGCAAGGCGACAAGCGCCAAGTTCGACAAGCTGCAGTTCATCTTCCGGCACTACGCGGGCGAAGTGCAGTACACGGCGAATCGCTGGCTCGAGAAGAACCGCGGCACGCTCCACCCCGACCTGCCAAAGCTGCTCGCCTCTTCGTCGCGGCCGCTGCTCGCGGCGCTCTTCGCGGAGCGCGCCGCTTCGGACGAGACGAAGCGTGCGACGGTCGGCGCCTCGTTCCGCGCCTCGCTTCGCGCGCTCTCCGAGACGATGGCCGCGACGAAGCAGCACTTCATCCGCTGCATCAAGCCCAACATGCAGCAGCGCTGCGACGACTTCAATGGGCAGGTTGTCTCGCGCCAGCTGCGGTACACGGGCGTCGCCGCCGTGGTGGAGATCCAGCGGTCGGGATACCCGATCTCGTACTCGCACTCCAACTTCATCGGCCGCTATCGCTGCGTCGCCTTCGACAAGCCCGAGCTGCTCTCGAAGGAGACGAGCGACCCGAAGCAGTGCTGCGCCGGCATCCTCAACTACGCGCAGCAGCTCGCCGGCGACTCTGCGCCCAAGGAGCCATGGCTGGAGTCGCTCCTCGCGCAGGTCGGCGCGACCAAGGTGTGGATGCGCGCCGAGGTGCTCAACGTGCTCGAGGTGCCGCGCCGCTCCGTCACCGGCCGCGCCGCCGTCGCTTGCCAGCGCCTCGCGCGCGGCATCGCTGCGCGCAAGCTGTTCCAGGTCGCCGTCAAGCATGCGTCGGGCGTCGCGGCCGTGCGTGTGTGCCTCGCCAACAAGGACGTGGCGGGTGCGGAGGCTGCGCTCGACGCGCTGCACGTGCAGTGGGAGAGATCCAAGGCGGCGCTCGCCGCGCTGCCGCCCGAGCAGCTCGCGGGTAGCAAGGTCGTCAAGATGAAAACGGAGCTCAACGAGCTGGCCTGCGAGGTGCAGGACCTCAAGGACCGCGTCGTGCTGTCGTGGGAGTCGGGCGACCGGTACGAGGGCGGCTGGAAGGACGACAACCCGCACGGCAAGGGCACGTACCACTATGCGGACGGCAACTCGTACGAAGGCCGCTGGGCGTGGGGCATCAAGGAGGGCAAGGGCATCTTCCGGTGGGCGGCCGGCGAGCGGTACGAGGGCGACTGGGCGGATGACATCATGCACGGCCAGGGCACCTACACCTTCGCCGATGGGTCGAGCTACACCGGCGGCTACAGCAAGGGCGTCCGGCACGGCCACGGCACGTGGACGTACAAGGACGGCGGCTCGTACGTCGGCAACTGGGAGGGGGGCAAGAAGAACGGCAAGGGCGTCTACACGGACGCTTCAGGCAAGGTGGTCTACGATGGCGAGTGGATGTACAACAAGGAGCACGGTGAGGGCACCTTCTACCAGCCCGACGGCGGCTACTACACGGGCAGCTTCTTCGAGGGCAAGCGCCACGGGCAGGGCCAGTACACCTCGCCCGCCGGCGACGTCATGTTCAAGGGCGAGTGGCTCGACAACAAGCCCGTCACCAGCACGTCGCAGCTGAGACAACCGAAACAGTCGTCGATGTCCGACGTGACCTCAAACCAGCCGGGCAAGCGCCTCTCCTTCACCAGGGAGCAGTCGCCCTCGACGGAGATGCTGCCACCTCCCTCCACGCCGAGGGGTCAGGCCGCGCCGGCAGCGTGAGGCGCCACGGGCGCCGCACTGAGCGCCTTTGTGCACTATGTATGGGGTTGGGGGTTGGGAAGGCGGCGGCGGAGCACGCCCCCGCCCACCGCCACAGGACCAAGGGCCACAGGCACCGGCACCGGCACCGGTTGTGGGCCCAATCGGGCTAGGGGTGGTCGTGACGTCGTGGAGCGGACCGTGGCTCGCGGCAGCGCAGCCTGGGTGTGTGCGGATTGCATGTTGCCGGCCCGCGTTTTGGCGTCAAAACAGGCATGTCGATTATATACTCTCAGCTCCCAGGCGGTCTCATTTAGATCTACACCGACGTCACAATCATGAACGCCACACATCGCACGCAGACTATCTCACGGCGAGACGACTGTCTGGCACAGCCGGCAACTCCCCCCGCGCACACACAGTGCACATGAGCACAAGAGGGATGCTGCATACAGGACATGCTGTGGAGGAAGGGGGAGGAGGGGAGACACACGAGGAATCAAATTACGACCGTCGGTGGGGTCACGCAAACACACGCTGTCTCGTGCGCCAAATAGCATCGCTTACGCGCTCATCGCATGCTGCCTGCACGGCAGTACGCCTCGCATCCCAAGCGCGTCGCTCATGAACAAATATGTGGCAGCGCGCTGCAGCCGTACGGCCTCTCAGAAGCCAAACGGGTTGGAGTCATCCACCTGCGACTCGCGCAGCTCCTGCTCGAAGACCTGGTAGGAGACGTGGTCGAAGCCGTCGAAGGCGCGCTGATCGTGCGCCGCCAGCGGGAAGGAGTTGCGCATGGAGAGGGACGTCTTTAGGTAGTCGACCATCTGGTGAGCAAGGCCGGGCGTCCGGTCAGACATAGGGGGGAGGGGTGCGGAGGCGCGGGTGGGCGCGCGCCTGGCAAAAGTAGTCTAGCTCGCTCCCCTCGTACGCCTTTGGGATCTGCTGCCGCGCCGGAGGCGTCGTGTCCATGTCCGGCTCGAAGGGCGGCCGGACCTCCATCGCGAGCAGCCCCTCCCAGTCGATCGAGGCGAAGAAGGGGTGCTCATACACCTCCGCCACCCCCCGCTCGCCGCAGCCGCACCGCCGGCTCCGGTCGCGCTGGAGCAGCCGCGAGGCCAAGTCGCACGCGTCCGGCTGCGGGGCAGGGGGCGGCGTCAGGGGGCGAGGGGTGGGTGGGGAGGAGCGGGGGGAGGAGTCGGCGGCAGGGGTAGCAACTGAGCGGCGAGAGAGTGTTGGGTAGTCTCGAGCGTGTGTCCAGCACTGGTCGGGCATGCGGGCGCATCGGCGTCTCTCGGAGCTGTGCGTCTCGGACGTGTCTGCACCTGAATGTAGCTGGGCAGCGCGAGCGGCTTGTGCTTGGTGAGCTGCTCGCTCTCCTTGCGGTTGCTACCGCGGAAGGGGTTCTCGGCGGTCAGCATCTCGATGATCAGGATGCCCACGTTCCACCAGTCGGCCTCCTTGCCGTAGTCGCGGTCGTACACCTCTGGCGCGCGGTAGCCGTGCGTGCCCGTGATGGTCATGCGGCGGCGCAGCGTGGGGGCGCCGGCCTTGGCGGTCTTGTCGCACGACGTGGTCGACCCGTTGTTGATGCTGATGCTGCCGTTCTCGGCGACACCGCGCGCCGCGCCCATGTCGGCGAGCTTGACGTAGCCGTCGAGCGTGAGGAGCACGTTGTCCGGCTAGGGGGAGGGGGGAGGCGGTGGGGCTGGAGGGGGAGACAGCGAGGAGAGGCCAGGGGGAAGAGGCAACGGGCGAGAGGAGAGGGGAGAGGAGGAGCTGGAGAGAATCGAGAGGCGAGAAGGCATGGGAGGGAGGGAGCGAGCAAGCGAGCGAGAGAGAGAGAGAGAGAGAGAGAGAGAGAGAGAGAGAGAGAGAGAGAGGGAGAGAGAGAGGGAGGGAGGGAGGGAGAGGGAGAGAGAGGGAGAGAGAGGGAGAGAGAGGGAGAGAGGGAGAGAGGGAGAGAGGGAGGGAGGGAGAGAGAGAGAGAGAGAGAGAGAGAGAGAGAGAGAGAGAGAGAGAGAGAGAGAGAGAGAGAGAGAGAGAGAGAGAGAGAGAGAGAGAGAGAGAGAGAGAGAGAGAGAGAGAGAGGCGAGCGGAGGGGACCTTGAGGTCGCGGTAGAGGATGTCGAGCTCATGAAGGTGGTGGGTGGCGAGGACGATCTGCGCGGCGTAGAAGACGGCGCGTGCGTGCGTGTACGGCCCGCGGAGGAGGTCCGAGTACATGTTGCCGCCCGCGATGTAGTCGAGCACAAAGCAGAGGTGGTCCTCGGTCTGGAAGGCGAAGCGGAGAGGCACGATGAAGGGGTGCTCCACGCTCGCGAGCACCTGGGGAGGGAGGCGGCGGGGAGGGGAGCGGCGTCAGCCGGAGACGTGGAGAGAGAGGCAGCGGTGGAGGGCAAGCACCTCCTTCTCGCGGAAGATCGAGTGCGTCTGGTTCTGCGAGATGAGGATGCGCTTGTCGATCACCTTGACCGCGTACATGCGCTTGCTCTCGCGCTGCCTCGCCAGCAGCACCATGCCAAAGCCGCCCGCACCCAGGAAGCGGTGGAGGTCAAAGTCGCGAATCCCGACGACGTGCCTGTCGTCGCTGTGCAGCGCCTGCAGCGCGCGGTAGTCTGGCGACTCGATGAAGCGCGGAAAGATGTCCATCCGCATCGTGCTCATCACCGACGCTTGCACCACGTCGAACAGCGCCGCAGAGTAAACTGCGCCCCGGCTCGCGCCCCCATCCGCCGACGACCCGTGCTCAATCGCAGCGCGGATCTCGTCCACCGCCGCCTGACCGAGCCCTATCTGCTGCGGCGCGCCCTACAGAGCATGGCACAAATGACATTAACCCCTTGGCGGCGAGGCGGCGGAGTGAAGGCGACCGACTGCCTGCTTGATGTATTTGCGATAGACCTTGCGTGCCACAAAGCCTCGGTAATCCGGGGCCTTGATTGAGCGGTACTCTTGGACCTCGAGCCAGAAGAGGAGGTTCTCGGTGGACATCTCGCTCATGCAGAAGCGCTGCAGGCGGAGCGGCGACGGTCAGAGCGACGGCAGAGCGACAGCGACACTCAGCGGGTGGGCTGGGGTGGAGGAGGAGCGACGCGCCTTGAAGTAGTTTAGGTTGACCGGGTCGGCTAACACCTCCTCGAGCGTCAGCATTCCCGTAGAGTCGCCGGAGTGTCCTCTTTGTCGCCCCCTCCTTCAGCTGTTTTTGGACATTTTTCTTTTTCTCTTCTCTCGAGGTTCTCGAGGTTTAGGTATGTTGTTGGCAAACCAAGACACAGAGCTCACACAGGATCACAGGTGGATATCCTCTGGCCGCGTTGGGTAGTTTCTATTCTATGTTGTGTCCTTTGGAGTGCTGGGGGGGGCGACAGGGTCAGGGAGGATGTGGCCCTGAGTTATGTGTACGCCAACTCCGGGTGTGTGGCAGCCAGCTGGCTGTGATGTGTGTCGTGTGAGCCTGTTTGTGTCTGTGTGTCGCTCGTGCGTGTCGTCATCATCTGTCCAGCGTCCACCCATACCGCGTTGGTGTCCAGTCCGAGCCTGGCTGTTCTTCACCTTTTCCTACATACCATACATACGGCGACCCTCCGTATCCCCGGTGAAGGCGGCGGCATTGGAACGTACCGCCGCACCTCCTCCGAGTACATCCTATGGCTTCACAGGTATAGTGAACAGCGCGATTCGGAACGGTGGGCTCGCCCATACGCCATACCGGAGTGGTTCGAACCCACGCAACCAAACAAAACAACCCCGGAGGTGACGGGCATTGTCGTTGTCGGCGGTGATCTCAGGCCCAGTGAGGTAGTGCATCCGACCTGTCCCGGACGGATCCCGCTGAACAAGCTCCTCTGGTAGGAAGCTCGATCGATCGGTCACACCGGCCGTCGCCGCCCACCACCCTGCCCCCCCGCTGGTATGCCAGCGCCCGGTCCCTTGCCCTCTCTCGCCCTTGCTCTTCCTCTCCCCCTCCATGCCGCTCCCCCGGTACCCCCCCCCCCTCCTCCCTCCCCCCCCCCTCCCCCTCCTCGCAGTAGGGCCCATGCCCCATGACCATGTTCCGGTAGAATGATTCAGTGTTGCCGAAAGCGACAAAAGCGCCCTTCCGACCGTGCTCCCCGCTGCTGCTGAGGGAACAGACGACCTGGACGTTGGCTCCGCAATAGTGCCTGCCGTGCGAGCCAATGTTGTCCGCATCCACGTCGGGTCGTTTGTTGTAACTCTGACCGAGGTGGGCTGTCGGCTCCATTCGCACAGCGGTGCCCCACGCGGCGCGTAGGGCGAGAATGAGTCGTCGAAGCGTGTACTTGTGTCTGGTATTGTGGCCCTGCTGCGGTACGTTGACAGCAGCGTCGCCATACTCGTCGTGGGTCTTCCCATTCCGAGTCTTCTTGCCCGCCGCCGCGGCCTGGCAAGCCACGTCGAGGGGGAGACCCAGGCGGCGCTGCACCGAAAGACGCATCGCCCAAGTCTCCATTCGCATATCATCCCGCATGGGGATGGCGTTGAGGAAGGCGCCGGCGCCATCCTGGCTCACCGCTACGAAGCGGACTGCCTCCTGCCAAGCCTCATGCTTCGCCCGCTCCCTGCCCTTGGCCTGCGCCTTGCCCCCCCCCGTCTTCCTCCTCCCGCGGCATGGGAGAGCCGACTTTGCGGAGCCCTCATCCCTTAGCTCGAGGGCGAGGGCGCGCCAGTTCCTGTTGTGGACCACCGTCGTGAAGCGCCTCTGCGCCTGGTGTAGGAACTCGTTCTTGGACGTGAATGAACTCGGGGAGGTCCAGCAGCTCCTTCTCCGGGACGGGCATTAAGAAAACAGGATTGCGCGGCACGCCGCCGTTTCTATAAGC